TATTACTCTGACTCATGTAATTAGAGATTTTTCTTCTAAGTGTTATGTATGATCACTAAAATTTTTGTAGGTCTTCAGCTGAGTGCAAAGAAACCCCCATGAAAATGGCAAATTAAGAAGTTTAAATTATTCAGCCATGTTTAAAAGTCTTTACTTATTTTAATAAGGGCAGAAAAAAAAAATATAATATTGAAACAAACTTGAGGATCAATATGCTTCCATGAAAAGGTTTTCCCTCGAAACCAATGATTATTGCAATTTATAACTCAAACTTTCTGACATGATGTTGTGAAATATAGAATGAAACTAAATCAGCCCAGAGTACCTTTTTCAGTCAGAGTAACGAGGATCAGAGAAGGATGCAACCGTGCAGCAGACAGTGATAATTCATAATATTGATATGGAGATGAAAACAAAAAGCTTTACTGTTGGCCCAGCTAATACAATATTCATCCCTAAAGTAGAGAAAACTTTGAGTAGCCCTTTATCTGAGACTGAGGAAGGCCTAAGTAGAGGTGGGAAGATGGTTCTTTTATTAATTGAATTTACATATGGAGAGGTGAGAGATCTTGTCTCAAACTGATATGGGGCAAGGTCTTGGTAAGGCCCTGTGGAAAAGAGGAATTGGGAGGGAATTATATTAATCTCAAGTGTATTCAAGGTGTTCCTCTTAGGCAATGGAAGACATAAATTAGAGGAGAATGGAAGGAGGAAATGAGAGGAAGTAGTACAGGTAGCATCCAGCTATTACTTGGAAAGTGAACACATTTCTTTTCATACTTTGAATGGTGTAAGCCATAAACTCATCTTTGCAAGTACTGTCTTGAGTTAACAAAGTGTATATTAAACTGTTTCTGTTCATGGCAAGGAGCAACTGATAATCACTAGCTTGTTGCCTGCTCTTTCCTTTTGAGGTGTATGTACATTCTAACTTAAAATTGAAGTTGCATTTTCCTTTTCATTGTTATATTGTTTGGTCTCTTTTGACCTCTTGCAAGTATTTCAGAGGAATCTTTCCATTAACTGTGTCTGATGGGTCTTCCATTTTGACAATGTTTTTCTGCTAAAGATAAATATAAAATGTGTTGCACTGAAATTAACAGTGCATTACCTCCGTTACAATAATGACAGCAGTGTGACAACTTGCAAATTAATGATAAAATAGATTATCACCTTTTCACACACATTTCTGAGATATTTTGCAACATTATTTCTTTGTACAGTATGAAGTCAGGAATGTGTTAAATGGCAGCATAATTTATTGTTGTTTACCAGATACTGGGTATTTTATTAAGGTTCACAAATATCTTATCAAATATGTGAGGAACACTTGATAAACCATCTTGTAAAGTGTCACAGATGTAAACAGCTGCTCATAGAGACAAGAATGCTGCTTCTGCGCATATTTCTTAAGCACATGTCGATGGTTCTCCTATATAATCTTATTTTCAAGTTTTCTTTTGTAGGCCTGTTTTTGCCTCTTATACAAGAGGTATGCTCCCTGGGTTTGTCCTATTCAACTCTTTTACTCTACGGATCTTGTAGCATGTCACTGACTTATGCTGGTGCTCAGAGATTTCTATCAGAGCTGGACTTTATGATACAATGCTTTATAAATGCTGTGTACAATTTCATACAGATTGTAAAAAGCTTATTTGCTAAGAAGTTCATGGTGTAGTGGTGAACAAATGTCATGTAGCTCTTGTAAATCTGTATTCTAATTGCCTGCAAAGCAGTGTCCTTCGTCCAATTCAAAGCAAACCATTGTTCGTTGCTTTTTCCTACCACACAGTATGAGCAAACAAGAGTAAGTTATTCTCATCTCTCTGTCTCATTTTATTAGGAATATGAATGTTTACTGCCAAGGTAATATTCATTCTTGAGTTCCTGGATGTTTTCGCAAGTCCTCTAATTTAGTTGTAGGAGAATAACACACTAGCAGTCAGCACACGGGTAGCAGTTGTCAAACATAAACACGTAACATCAGTAGAATGTGGGTAACAAGTTGAAACTCTTCCAAGACTTTTTTCTCCAGGTATAATCCCAAAATGAAATTCCAGGATTACAGCTGGGTATTTTCTTTTTTTGCTTTTAGATAGGAGACAGGAGGGAGACTGCAGGATCCCAGCATTGCAATTGGGTTGATAATAGGGTACTCCTGGTTTACGACTTATGAGATCTACAATTCAGACACACTATCAATACCTATGCTGGTCATCCAAACCCTGTTACACGGGAGAATATGGCCAGCTCTGCTGTTGCAAAAATAGAATATTAGGTTAAATTTAAATTGCTAGGATTTTGAGTGCTCCCCCACACTCAAGTTCAGATAAACACCCTAATCTCGTGTTCATTTCACTCTGAGACATGAACTAGCTCTTTCAAGTCCATGTCTCCATGAGGTTGGAATGCTGGCTCTCAGATTTGCAGGGAGTTAAGCTGTACAGGCTTTCTAGATTCCACCTGTAACATGCTGGGTTTGGTTTTGGTTTGTTTTCTGAATGTGCTAGAGCTATCACATTACAAAGCTTTACCTTTTGAAATCTGATCCAAAATTTGGATTGGTGTTGATGAGGGCACCAAAATACACATTTCATCATGTAGAGAGATGAGTGAAGATAATGAAGGGTGGTGGCAGTCTGAGTACCTGTCATGTCAAGCCAACATCAAAGCTTTCTTCAAGAAATAGTAGCAATTACTTTATGAGAAGGAAAAGCCAGTCCTATTGAACATGTTTGAACTTTTTCTAACCCAAATCCAGCTACAGACAACTGATTTTCACTAAAACCTGTGAAACAGTGACTATAGTTGGATGATTCCAACCCTAACTATTCTTTGATTCTATGATTTTATGATTCAACAATGACATTTCCAAGATATGCATCTCTCTGAACAATGCCAGAAATAAATCTTCCCATATCACATTTATATGCTTCTTGCTTACAGTAAAATGCCAAAAGATTAACCAGATACCAGTTAATCGCTGTTCCATGGATTTCTGTATAAGCTGAACAAGCAGTGTTTTACAACAGTCAGAAACTGTTTGCTCTGCTGTAATAATGTCTCTAACTACTTCAGCAATTAAAATTGTTGTGGGGACTGTGAAGTGCATTTATTACCATTGCTAATTAGAATACATGAATCAAAAGAAGAAAGATGCTATCCCATGAACCGAATCTGACTTCTTTGCATACAGCAAGATTTATCTTGCAAGGCAAAATGTTGTATAAATTCAGACACTTCTCTCCAGTATTTACTATTTGCATCATGCTAACATTGTCCTGTAATTATTCTTAAGAATTACTGGTCTCTGCTTTACTTCGTGGTTCAGGTACTTTTTTAAATTCGCCCAAATCCTCTCCCAGAGGATAAATAAATTCAAGGAACTCTGACATATTCTAGGGTCTCTTGTGTCTCCTTTGCTTATTAAACCCATTCTGATCATGACCATTAACTCTGTAGCTCAAAAGGAAGTCGACTGAAGAGCACTAATGTGGCAACCTTATCTTAAAATGGGTAAGCAGGACAACAAGAGAATTCAAGGAGCTGAATAGCAGGAGATGAGATTATGATAATGTCTATTTGACAACCTGATCACTATCTGGAGCCAGCATCAGGTTGCTGTTGCCAATAAATTGGCTTTTCCTATCTTGGTGCTTGGAGGCATGTGTCACCAGCATCCATGATGGGACTTATTATCCTCTGGAGAACCCATGAACATAATAGCACATTAGACATAGGTCACTGACAGAATTAAGGGACAGGCTGTTTCTTTTACCTGAGTCACGAAGACTTAAATGCTTCCAGGGTGCATGGGTTGTGTGATGGCTTCCTTCTGAAGGAGCTGGTGGAGTCCTCAAGGAAGGAATGTTCCTTTGTGTCTCAAGTAGTCATTCCCATTTTTTGGCCTTGCTTAGAGGAAAATGAAATGGATAGGTAAATATTCAATTTGAGTTTCTCTTAAATTCTTTGTTGGAACAAATGAGACTTAATTCTAGTCATGCATTTTTCTAGATTGTATCCTCCATTGTAGTTTCTTCTGCTTTATAATTGCCACTCTGTTTTTTATAAGTGCATAAAAATAAAGTAATATTGTTACATTCCCTTGAATAACTTAATGACTACATTTGGAGGTAACTAACTGTAATTATGCAATGCATACCCTGTGTACAGGAAGCTTCATACATATAGCTTCAAACTACACAGTAGTCATTGAGTTATACTTCCTTTATAATTTTTTTCCTTAGAAGTGGTGTTTTTTTCTACTCTTGTGAATACCTTTGGTGAAACACGATAGAAAAAGTAAACTTGTCAATGTAATCTTAGTTTAATTTGTTTGTTTTTCCACAACATTTTTTGATCTCATTTATGTGATTAACACAAGATCTAACATATAAATGATCAACTATATGGAGCAATAATGCTTGGATAAATACATCTTTGTCATCTGGAGTGCTCCTCTAGAATAGGGCTGGAGGCTGTATAATTTTCTCCATGTTACAATGGTTGCAACTAATTGATCTAGTTATAATTGATAGACGTTCATCGCAGTATTAAAGATACTAGTTAACACTTAAGAGCTCTTGTCTCCTGACATATGCTTTTGCCTGTGTTGAGTTGCATGGTGCATCCCCATCCACATTGTCAGGCACAGTTGTAACCAGAGAGTCAGAGAGTTTTCTGTCATTCTAGGTAGGAATATAAATAATTGGGCAAAAGATGGGGAGATAAATTCAGCTGGCTATCCCACATCCCTAAGGAAAAGCAATAGGCAAATCTTGTGCATATAAGAAAAGAATTAATTATTGAATCATTCTCTGGTTTGCACATTCAGGAAGAACAGTCATTTTCCACTATGATTTCCAGGTGTCTTTTTGCTCCTAGATATAAGGTTAGCAGGCTGGAGCTGGAGCTGGAGCTAGTCAGATGCCATCAGGTCTGCTCAACTGCTTTCACAGCTCCACAGGATAACCAGTCAGAGGAGACCAAACCAGCAAGATATGTTGTCACCAGTTCTTACGATTTCAATAACTATTGTAGCTATTGAAGTTGCTGTTGAATTTTTTGGAAATGGGTTTATTGCAGCTGTTAATATCATTTACTGGATCAAAAGCAAAAATCTTTATTCCACTGATATGATCTTGACCTTTCTGAGCACATCAAGATTTATCTTGCAGGTGACCATACTGATGCACATTCATAGCCTCTACTTTGTGGATGTGTTTAGGTTGGCTTCTGTACACAAAGCTTTTGGTGCTGTATGGACGTTTGTAAACCATGCCAGTTTGTGGTTCAGTACCTGGCTGTGTGCACTGTACTGTGTAAAAATAATCAATGTCACCCAATGGCTGCTCTTAGAAATCAAGCTCAGAATAGCTGGGATGGTCCCATGGCTTCTTCTAAGATCATCAGAGACTTCTTCTGTGACTTCTCTTCCTTTACTATGGTTTGCACCCAGCACTTACCTCTGCAGCTCAACTGGGAGCTGTAGAGAAAGTAGGACAGCACATATCACTGACTGGGATCATTCACATCTCTACCTGCTGCTTCTTTACTGTGCAGGTTGCTTTTTCCCTCTGGTACTCTCTGGTTACCCCATCCCTATTAATTACTTCTCTATGGAGACACACAAGATGAAATCTTATGTAGATAATTTCAGGGATCCTTTGATAGATGTTCACATAACTGCCATTAAATCTATTGTTTCTTTCTTGATCCTACATCTTTGCACTTTCATAGCTCAAATTCTGCTGATACTGTCCACTTCTCAAAGTAAAGATGTTGTGAAAGTTGTAGCTGGGGCATACCCTTCCATCCACTTTATTATCCTGACTATAGTGAATTCAAAACTGAAATTGGTGGTTAGTATCTTCTGCCATCAGTTAAAGTGCCATTTGTAAAATATGACTTTAAGCCCCATATTACAGCTTGAGAGAAACACTCTCCAGTAACAGATCTGGAATCAAGACTTTAAAGCATGTATTTTTTCACTGTCTTTTTTCTTAATCAAGAACTTTAAGCTTCTATAGATTCCTGTGATTTGACTACCTTAACATTTCAGAGCATCTGAAATAGCATACATTTTTGCCTTTTCTTCTACACCACTCTTGCTCTCTCAGTCTTATTTAGTATAGAGTGATAATAACAATGCACTGAAAGGAAACAATGCGCTAAAATGATAAACCAAGTACAGGATGCTTTGTGATTTCAAATTCTCAGTTTAAGACAGTTTTATGATAGCTTTGATTTTAGGAAAATGGGGCTAAAACAGAGACAAAATTTTCAGAACTCACAAATATCAGTTCTCTGCCAAAGGATCTTTCATCTGAGAAGCTTAAAATTGGCTTAAACACATGTACAAACCATGGCTGCTGTGACATACAAACAGAATATGCCTCAAAACATGAAAAACTAACTAAAAGATAACCTAAGGGAAAATTCAGATTTGGAAACATGCAACCAATTAATGTAATCAAATTACATTCTGAATCAGGTTTCTTTGTGTTAGGATTCCAGCTTATTTGTTTGTTTTTCCTGAAAGTAGATTACTAAGGGTGGTTATTACAATGTAAATAGATGTATGCACCTCGATCTATCTGTCCACTGTAGAAAATCTCATCAAGTTGACCACTGTGATGAAAAATTTGCCTTTGTACATGATTTGCTGCAGCTTTGAGTTGGGAGCTGTTTCTAAGCCTGTTCTCTTTTAATATTTTATGTTACTGTGAAACTTTGCATGTAGTTGATGAAATATGTTCAACACATCCTGTCATGTTTTACCAAATAATTTGTTAGATGATTCTACTCTGAAGTTCTCAGATCAGCTGAGATTTTTTATGCTGTATATCCCCTCTATAGGAATTTAGATAACATTAGAGTATAAATCACTCTAGTGAAAGTTTCAGTCCCATCTATAAAATTAATGAGCAGTGTGATTCACTTAGTCTTGGACTGTATCACCTTCAGTGTTGGAATCATTTGAGTAATACCCTTATAAAATGCTTTGAAGTTATTATTTTGACAATATTAAATAAAGAATGAATATAATGCTTTTAACTGGTATCTTAAAGTACTTTCTGCAATGAAATACATATTAATAGGAGACATAAATGAATGCACTGTGTGATATGAAGTGATATGACCATTGGCATGTGTGAGCAGTGGGATAAAACTGCATAGCAGGAGAAGAGGATGACTAAACCCATAAACACATCTTTTGGAGGTGCAGTACAACATACAGTAAAACTAAAACTACTGTAACATCCAGTGCTGCATGAAGAGAGACCCAGAAGTCCCTTGAGAGCCCTGCCTTGTGTAGTTCTCCAGGGAAGCAGATGGGAACCGCTGTGCTCATGCCACGGCACCACCCTGCTCTGCTTCTGCATGCCCTGCCAACATGGACCAAGATTAGAAGAGTCACACAGCAGTTCTTTTGGTCCTTTCTCCAGCTGGCAACATCGTGAAAAGAAATCCTCCTGAAAGAAATGAGGGATCCCTTGTTGATGGTTTTATTGGGGGATTTTTGGGGGAAGGGTGGTGTTGGTAGTGGTGTTTGGGTTATATTTTAACCTCATCAGGAAGCTCTGATAAAATTCATTTCCCCAATGAGCTTATTTTTTCTTTAGTTATTTCTAAACCAATTTCTAGTGGGAGTCTGAGGGAAAGGGATCAAAGACAAGTGTGAAAATAATGACCCCTGCTCAGCTTTTTCACTGCCTCCTTACCTTCAGGAAGGGGAGATCTGAAGCAGGAGCAATGATTAATAAAATATCCTTCAGTGCTTCCAGGGAAGAGGAGGGCAAAGCTCAAGCACTTGATGTCTTTATATTGTATTGATGAAAGTCTTGTTACACACAGCACAGAGTGAGATAGACGGGTACATGAATTAGAATTTTAAAAATAACTGAATTGGTAAATAAATTGTTAGTTTTGTCCTTTCCCTTTCCATCCTTCTCCTAAGCTTCAATTTATTTTCATGTCTTCTTCAACAGTAGATAGAGCTTCCCATTTATTTTCTGATCTTGCCCTGCTCTTTGGATTTCAACCTTCCCCTTCCTAAAATCATTATCTGTATTCTCTGCAAATCTAGCCTTCTTTTTCTGGTACATTTTAAAAAGGCATTCTGATTATTATTTTACAACCAAATATTATGCACCAAGTTTATACTCCATCCCTGGCAGTGTTCAAGGCCAGGCTGGACAGAGCCTTGGGTGACATGGTTTAGCATGAGGTGTCCCTGCCCATAGCAGGGGGTTGGAACTAGATGATCATAAGGTCCTTTCCAACCCTAACTATTCTATGATTCTATGATTCTAAGTTACAACGAGCTGGATTCTATATCTCATTTATCCCAGAAAGCAAATAATTAAATCTGATGAATGTTTTGGTGTTTATTATTTTGGCACAAAAGAAAATACAAAAAGAAGTTGTTGACATGTCATTGTCTAAGAAGTGTTTATATAGTGATTGAAATTAAGAGTCAGTTCACTAGTACGTTTCCCATGGAACTTTGTGACTTACATGAAATGTAGGCAGCATGAATGAGAAAATACTGCCTCTAGTTCATGTAAGTCCAGTAGCTATATGGCAGCACCATGATCATCATAAGGATGATAAAAAATGTGATTACTGCAGTTGTTCATAATGTCATACATGAAAACCAAACCTCCTCCTCCAACTTTCTATCTTTTTACTGTCATGGTGCTTGCTTTTCTAAGCCAAAATTCATCACGGTTCTTTGTCCAGGAAAAGCAGTATTTTGCTGTGCAGGAATTAAGCGACTTCTGATTAAAATCGCAGTAGCATCTTCATGAAGCTGGCTAAGTTTTCTTTACCTGTCTTCAAGCATGTCAATCAGAAATGAGAGCTACCACAGGTATTCTGGGTTTCAGCTGCTGCTATCATTGCTGTGTCTTTCCTTTGGCCTGGATTAATCGCAGTCTGTACCTGAAGAAACCAGCAGCTGGGTGGTGGATAATGAACTCCAATATCCCTAATATTAATCTCTCTTCTGTTAGTTTGGTGTTCTCCATGGTGCTAATTACCCCTCAGCAGAGATAGAGGAGGCAGCACTGCCAGCTCCAGGGATCCCAGAACAGATGTTCTTATGAACACCACTAAAGCTCTCATTTTCTCTGTTGCCAGTTTTCTATCAGTGATCATGAAGCCTTTGACCTTCTTTGCACATGACAACACCATGGTGCTAATTTATTCTGATTAATTTTGGTTCATTTCAAGATTAAAATAAGTGTCAATGAAGATGAAGATGGCTTCCCACCTTCCTGCAAGGTCTGGAGAAAAGTTCTACCTCCTGAAAGAGTTTATAATAGGATTACGAACTGGGATTACTTTTATCTCTGTTTATTTGTTGTCTTCCCTATTGTAATGCTCAGCCTTCATAAATATCACAAGGACAGTTTCTTCAACGTTAGAAAATACTTCTTGAAGCTAATCCCTCTTCCCCTCAATATTTCTTATCCTTTTATTTCTCATTGGAGGGCATCTCTATGGGAGGTCATTGGAACTTAGGTGCTCAAATAATACTGTTCATGGATTTGTTAGATAAACTCTTCATACAAATGTGAGTCTTAAGGGTTACTAAAAAATAGCAAATATGCAAGAAAAAAAAAGGAAAAAAGGAGAATAAAAGAAGAAACAAAAGCAAAAAGAAAAAAAAGGGTTTGGTTTCTAAATGAATGTGTAACTGGTTTTGACTACCATGAATATTGAAAAAATAAATTAATTGCATCCAAGTATAACTTTCTAGCTAAAGTAATTATTTTTAAACTGCCACTTGTCTTTGCCATTCCCTATGCATTTTTAATGACTCAAAAGAGCTTTACATTGGCCAAAGTAATGATAATGGGTATTAATTACTGGGCAAGATACAATGAAGAAGCATGGACACTCTCATAACCAGAATTCTTGACACTCACAAGCATTTCAGAGATCAGAGGGTTTTGTACTATCCCTGAAACTTTGTTCATCTCCACCCTGAGAGGCCATATCTCTTCTCTAGCATTCAGCCTATCTGTGTGTAAGGACAGAGACAACAGTTTATCATTAGAAAACAAAGCAGTAGTATAGATGGTGGTTATAATGCAATTTATGTGGGCTTTTGAGAATGGAGAGAAGAGGTCGTACAGATCTGTGTCATTGAATTTGGCTGGTCTCTTTTCACAGTGCAGGTAAACAACCCTGGGCAATGGTACACCCTTCCAAAAGCAGATATTGCTGAATTAGAATCCATGCACCGAATGCTCCATTGCAGATTAGGTTTTTGGTTATCGCAGGAAAAGCAGCGGCAAGCTGCTAAACAGGAATAATAACTTGATATCATCATCCCCCAGTTGCCTCTTAGGTAGGAGGGGTGAAATTAAACCCTTTCTGGCCTTTAGGCACTCAGATGTGATATTGTGATGAGATTAACATGGATGAGCAAATTCATAAATTAAAAAATTGATTGGTAGGTGATTAAACTAGATTTTTTTATTGCCTTTCACTCTCTTCCACCCTCCCCCAGTGTCATTTGGGCATTTCAATTTTTTCCTAGCTTTATATCTTTTATTTTTTCTCTTCACTTTTGGAGTCTTTTTTTCCTTTCTAGAAACCAAGAAACTTTAATTCCTCATTTATCACCCCTTTTTCCTAGCATTTCCTCTAAAATCTTGGCTGGTTTTGACTGTGTTGTTGCTGTCATTGCAAATGCATGATAATAAAAGCAAGCTGGGTACATTCCCATATTTATTTTACTCTAATGAGCACACATTACAAGATAGTTTATCGGTTTTGGCAGATCTATACTTTTTCTTCTGTGACAACATTACAAACAAGACCCCTCCCTTTTCTTGTGAAGGTGGTGAAAAAAAAATCCCACATGATGAAACCTTGAGATATTTTA